TATCCATGCCACCTCATCAGTGCCCATCAGTGCTGCCTATCAGTGCCCATCAGTGCTGCCTATCAGTGCAGCCTCATCAATGCTCATTATTGAAGGAGAAAAATTACCTGTTTGCAAAATTATACAATAGAAACAAAGAAAACATTTTTTTGTTTATAGTGCAAAAAAAAAAAAAAAAAAAGTGGTGATTAAATACCACCAAAAGAATGTTCTATGTGTGTGAAAAAAATGATAAAAATTTCATATGGGTACAGTGTTGCATGACCGCACAACTGTCATTCAAAGTGCAACAGCGCTGAAAGCTGAAAATTGGCCTGGGCACAAAGGGTGTAAAAGTGCCCGATAGGCAAGTGGTTAATGGACCTGACTCCATGTGTGTTGTTTTCTATGGGCCCCTGCATGCAGCTGTGTAAAGTTCAGTAAACCTGTGCTGTATTCAGATACCTAAAAGAAAATCTGCATCTGAGGTTCTGTGTATGAACTATAAGTTATACTGTAGACATGTAAACATTTGTGCTAACATTTACATGCATAACGTATAGAGCGCACCAGATATATGTACTCTATTGGCGTACACGAGCCACATGCATCTTAGCAACTGTTCTGTATTTGGTGGTTTTCTGTTTATTTATTTTTTCTTTTAGATGGACTTGTGTCTTTTTTCAACTTGACTAACTATTCATTATGTAATTAGCAATGGAGGACACTAGGCTGCAATAGCCTCTTGCATCCTAGCAACGCAGGAAGCTAGGTGACAATAGCTGCCTGTGTACTAGCAATGAAGGACACTAGTGGGTTGATTTACTAAAACTGGAGAGTGTAAAATCATGTGCAGCTCTGCGTAAAAACCAATCAGCTTCCAGATTTCTTTGTGAAAGCTTAAACGGAGCTGCAGCCCCCTAAAAAAAATGTGTTAAAAGCAGATCCACGATGACCTTACAAATAGCATTAACAATTGGAATAATTCAATTTTTAAAGCATTGTAATTACTTAGAAAATTGTAAACATTTACCAGGATCTTGGAAGCAGGCAGGCGCCATGATGGCTGTGGGCATCTAAAGCCTGCAGGTATTTATTTCCTGGAATCATGCTGCTGGCTATCCCAGCATGCACCACTAGTTCTTGCACATGCGCAGTACAGACACTGCTCAGCGCAACGTGTGCAGTACAGGTTGCTATAACAATGGTGGGGACGGATGAAGTTCCCACTCCCCGTCAGGCAATCTGTACCACACTGTACTGCAAGGAAGAGAATATATCATGGACTCCGGTAAAATGGCGCGAAACACCTCCCATTCGCGATAGTTCCGGTTTCCAAGTCCCACGATTACAGGAAACCAAAGGACTCCTGGGATACAGGAAACAACATCCCAGGAGACCTTGCAAATCGCCTTACGATCGCCTAGGCACTCGGGACCGGAACTGCAGACTTTCAGTGGATTAAAAGGTATGTATAATAATAATTTAAAAAAAATATCCAAATTGTGCTTTATTTCGCAGGTAAAGTATTAAACATGGGTGGAACTTCAGGCATCACCAGCAAGCTTCCCACTTTCCATTCATTACACATCTGCATCAGAGGCTGGTCATTAGCTCTGAGGAAAGGGGTTCATCCCCGAAATGTGTCAGCCATTTGACCACACTGACAGTGAGAACACCTTGCCTGTCATTGTGGCCATCGTCATTTTTCTATGCGCTTTACATACATGCTTCGTCTGTGAGTATGTTTTTATTTTTTCACTCCTCACAATAAACCTTGGATAATGCACTAGGTGTGTGTGCCACCTGTTTTCTCTTTATCCAATGGGTTGAACTTCGCTTTAATTGAACAATCTGAATTTAGAAGCAGATCTTGCACTCTACAGTTTTAGTAAACCAACCCCTAGATGTCAATAGCTGCCTGTGTCCTAGCAACAAGGGATGCTAGGCATCAATAGCTGCCTGCATCCTAACAAAGCAGGATGGAAAGTGGCAACAGCAGTATTTACCTGCATCCAATACACTGCTTGCTTGTATTCATTTACATTTTACTTTTAACTTACATGCATACAGCATACAAAGCACTTCTTATGTTTTTTGTCTTAAGAAATTACAAATGATTAGGTCCATAGAGGAAATATAAAAATTGCTCTAGTCCATAAGGATATACAGGTGCAACAGCTAAAGTGGGTAAATACTATGTACATAGAATACAAATTATGCATAATACTATACAGAACAAAACATACAATTTAGCTAAAAATATTCTAGTTAAAGTTTGAACAAAAGTGCCATATTTCATTAAAAGAGATGCAGCAATGAAAATGCAAATTTTGATATCATCCAAGCTTTTCAGCTTACTAGTGCAACAAACAGCAGAGTCTGGACACCAAGCTTGCAGCTGCTGCTAGCCATTATTCCTAAACTGTAAAGTGACTGAAAGTATGAGTGCACTTATCTTCTGTCAGTGGAGAAAGCAATTATACTTTATCAGTCAAACTGGAAAACAACAAAAACACAATAGCTAAATTTTTTTGTGCTCACTTCAAAACATAATTTATAGCTGCAGTACAGAAGTCGCAAGCAACTTTTCCTGTTCGTGTTAAGCACTAAAATTCTTTAAAAAGGATTTACAGAAAATTTTTTTAAAAAAAAAGCAGCTAACGGACACACAGTTTTTCTGTGATACTACTGAAACCTTAGGAAGATATTACCCATAATCATTACTGAAAGCACTGGCACATTACCACCTCATATTGATATGCATTAAAGTAGCACTTAGGTTATAATAATATATTTTCTCAAGTTGTTAGATCATTATACACATCGATGTTAAATACAATAAAAAAGAAGCCGAACCACATCTAAGGAACTTTTGCTGCTAATACAGTGTGGTATATTAAATCTTATGTATATAGTGTATTTGTTTTATGCAGACAAGCAAAATGTTTCATCACTATATTCACTATGGACCCACAATGAGTGTGTACACACACACCAGCATACATACAGTGAATTTAATAACAAGTGTGGCTTTCTATGGAGTGCATGCTTTAGCGTTTGAACATACCCTAGCTAAGTAATGAGGTGATTCCAATAAAAACGGCATACAGGTTTTTTGACATGCTGCTTTGCTTTGTGCATGCATATTTTGTTGCATAGTGAGATTTTTTTTTTTTCTCTATTAACATTACAGTATATAATTTCCTATTTTTGGCAAAACACCAGCACATACAGTATGTTCCTTTAAACAGCTTATCTCAATAGAAGGCGGGGAAGTATCATTATCTATATGAAGCACTAATGTATCATTATTTGTATGATCAACTGGAACCACGTCGCAGGCACTAAACATCGATGTATCGCTTGCTAGCTACGATAAAGTGTTACTAAACCCAGGGCACTGCATTCTCTATATCTGGTTTCCCACAGTACACAGAACATGGAAATGCAATTATTTTAGTAAATATAAACTGCTAAATACCTTTTATCATCGGCAGTGTATAACAGTCTTGTGACTTTTTCAGTATCCAAAAAAGCACTGGTTAAAGCTTGTAGTTTTCATTTTCCCCTGATTGTCCTATGAGGCTGCATAACCCCTGACCAGGGGCGGACTGACCATTTGGAAACTCGGGCACTGTCCGAGGGCCCGGGGTCAGTAGGGGGCCCCATGAGATGCCCCTGGTACCTTTTTCATAGGCTTTTTTGAGTTTGGGCAAGGACACAGGCCCCATGATCCCCTATTGCCCCATGAATTGTCAGTCCGCTCCTGCCCCTGACCCTCTGTCAGGACAGTGCTGATTGACCCTGTGTTGATCTCATGCACTCTTCCAAAAAAAAAATACCTCTCTGAATTTGTGATAGAAACATAAAATAGATAATCACACAGAGGTAAAATGAATGATATGAGTGCAAAGGGTGATTTATTTTATTCATTTACTTATGTCTGCAAACTATTCAACACTGTACAGCGTATTTACTGACAAATATTCTTATCAGTTCCTACCCACATAGGAGATTACAGTCTTATGTCACTACTACTTTCATACAAGATCAGCTTGGGTGGAGACCAACTAAGGAATTCGTTTTTGAGGGTTGTAGAAAAGAAACTGAAGATTTATCGAGATAACCACATAAATATGCAGAAGCCTTACAAATTCCATGTAGATAGTCCATATGGTATAAATTTTTTCCTCACAAGGCCACTATCCAATATAAACGCATAAAACACAGCATTACCCAATGAATCTTAAAGCGGTTGCAAAGCTAGAATGTGTTGTACCATAATGCATTCTCTGCATGAAGGTAAAAAAAAATCTTCTGTGTTCTGCTCTCTCCCCAGGCCCCCTTTATGCTTACCTGAACCCAATCTTGATCCAGCACTGTGCACAAGACAGTGGCTTTCTCCGCTCTCTTTCTCTTCATAGACTCAGAGACAGCAGTGGGAGACAATGGCTCCTACTGCTTTCAATCACAGACAGTGAGGAGAGGCAGGGGCAAACCATGCTCAGGGTGTCAATGGACACACAGAGTGTGGCTCAGGAGCAAGCCCCCACATGAGTGCCCCCATAGCAAGCCACTTTCTATGGGGGCACTCGCAGGGGGGAGGACCAGCCAAGAGCCAGGAGCACCAGTGGGGGACCCGTTAAGAGGAGATTCGTGGCTACTCTGTGCAAAACCACTGCACAAAACAGCTAAGTATAATATGTTTGTTATTTTAAAAAAAGAACTGTAGGTTTACAATCACTTTAATAATTGTGAAAAGCATGCTTGTAGCAGCAGATATCATAAACTGTACTTGAAAAAGACTCTTGAGTTCAGATAGCCAATGCATCCCCTATTAGATGACATTTGCTCACAGCTAAGAGAAAACTTAAAGTGTTACTAAACCCAGGACCCTGGATTCTCTCTATTTGGTCTCCCACAGTAGACAGAACATGGAAGTGCAATTATTTTAGTAAATATAAACTGATAAATACCTTTTCTCATCAAAAGTTAGAGCAATCTTGTGACTTCATCAGATCACTGGTTAAAACTAGTAGGAGGAGTTTTCTTTCTGCTCTAGGAGGATGTGAAACCCCATGACCCTCTGTCTGGACAGTGCTGATTGGCCCTGTGCTGATCACATGCACTCTCCAAAGAAAAAAACAAACCTCTCTAGTAATACACATCAAATTGAGCATGTGCATGTGACCACAGGCTATGTCTGTATCAGGTGGTCATTTCAACAAGAGGAGGGGCAGAGAATAAAGGATCAAACTGTCTTTTTACACAATGCAGAGGATTAACCCCTTAGGTTCCACAGTGAGTATAACAAGCATGTTTTACTGCATATACAGACTGATTTTACTGTTGTGGGTTTAAAGTAATCTCTACCTGTATAGCATGTCTATAATGCCTTACATAATGAAATGGGCACCCAAAATGACCGCACACACTTTCTGGTACTATGCAAAGCACCTACACCTCTCAAAGAGGCAAACTGCTCTGATGCAGAAACTGTTACATGCACTTTATTATAGGGTACACAAAATGCAGGGAATACTGGGCTTTCTGCTGAAAGACCAGCACTGTTTACTCACAGTTAAGCTTGTCATACACTGTAAGATTTTTTTCGTTAAGTCTGTGAGCTGAATGAAAAAAATACAAACATTAGACTCTTCCATCCATGCTAAACATCCATGCTATGTGATTGGATGCAGCTGTCGGTCAATTGAAATTTTCTGTCTAGCTCCTTTGATTTTTAAATCGAAAGATATAGGGTGGAAGGGGGCTAGCAGGGCAACCTATGGAGCACATTTGGGCCAGTTATTATTATCATTATTATACAGGATTTATATAGCGCCAACAGTTTTCTCAGTGCTTTTTACAATACAGTTCATACAAAACAGTTCATCAGGAATTGAAGGAAATGCACATCTCGTCTAACTGAAGATTCATATGTGCAAAAGGGTGGTCAGGGTGCTTGCTATTGGCCAAAAATGTAAGGAGTAGGTAGAGGGCACTCCTACAGTCAGCAGCTATGAAATGAAGCCTGGGCAAAGTTTGTGTGTCAGTATTTCTTCAAATATTTAGCCACAAGTTTAATTGAAGACCTAAAAAAATGAATAACTCCTTATGCAGATTGAATTTATTAGAAAACAAGGATTCAGAGGACTGGCAAAAACTGTCCTCGCTTGAGTAAATAACCCTCTTTCTTTTCAACACAATAACATACTTAATGATGAGTCTGAAATACACAAATGAAAGTAGATGGGGCCTGTCTTAGTATGCTATGAATGAATGAATGCTGGAAGGCATTCTGTGAAGTCATACTAAATAGCTCTTTCCATCCTGAAGGGGATAAGGATCAAAATAAACCTGCTGAGAAAGGAATAGAGCCAATTAAAAAACTCTTAATTAAAATGTTAATTATTACCAGAAATTTTTACACACTGTCCACCTGCAGGGTAAATACATAGCAAACTCAACATTGTAACAAGATGCCTAGGAAAGGATGTATTGTCTTTACCTAAGGCTAGATGACGACAGGGCACTTTTAAACCACTTTAACTAGCTTCAGTTTTTATTAATTAAGACAGCTTTCGGAAGTCCTATACATCTGCTGAAACATATAGTAAGGGTAAACATCACTTAGTCTTATGCTATAAAAATGATAACATGGAATATTCCAATAAACAGAATTCATTTAATGTTATACAAACAGTTTACTGTATGCCAGTTGCATCTTCAAGATGATATCTGCTTTTGTGGGCTGAACTAAACAACTTGGGATTCAACTATTCTCTTCTGTATCTCCTCACTTACAAAACAAGGGGTGGAGCAGATTTTAATAGTTGATAAACATACCAGATGACGTTAATCTGATCTCCACCTATAAATTCACTCTTGCACAGATGTATAGACTCCTCTCCTGTAATAAAATTGCTTCGTCTGATTTCATTGCATACTGTAAGCTTTTCTCGGTTTTTATTAGAAGCTGCAGCAAGGCATTTCTGTAGTACATGACATTCAGCATCATCTAGCTTTTTCCTCTCCACCCTTACTAACTTGGTCTGCCCCTTTCTTTCATTGGATTGACGTTTTTTCAATCATGGAGGCTCATTGTCATATGAAGGTGTTGTTCCCAGGGCTGTCAGCAAGTAAATAAAGCCTGCCTGGCTACTCCTACGCCACCATACTGACATCCACCCATCAAAGTATTTTGGTATTTCCATAACCTCTCCCAGGAGCCAGCCCAATGTTTGCGCAAGAGCTGAGGACTCTTGAGAGGATTACCGAGGAAGAATGCAGTGATGGTTTCATGTAGACATGTCCAGCATGTTTGGTGGTCCCTCCCACTATTCCTAATCTGCCTGCAATGCAAACAGAAGGACAGAGGCCAAGTAATGACATCACTGCATCTAAAATAAGGTATGTAATGTAAAAGGAAAGAAAATGTGGATGAGGGCAGAAGGAGGGAACAAGGGAAGCAACATATAAGCAGATATTTAAAGTGATATTAAATGATTTTTTTAAATAACAAACATGTCATACTTACTTGCTCTGTGCAGTGGTTGTGCAAGCAGCTTGCTATGGAGGCACCCAAGCAGACTCGCTCACACAGAGCATGGCTTAGGCCTCTCCCCTCCCTCCCCCTCATTGGCTCACTGGCTGTGATTGACAGTAGCAGAAGTCAATGGCTCCTGCCACTGTCTCAGCCAATGAGGAGGGGGATCCCCCATCGCTGGATCCAGAGGGGGCTCAGGTAAGTATTAGGGGGGCTGGGGGAGGACTGCTGCACACAGAACGTTTTTTGCCTTCATGCATAGAATGCAAGAAGGCAATAATCTTAAGCCTTTACAACCACTTTAAACTTTAACTAAAATTGAGTTTACATTATTTTATAGTGTATGCAATTGCAAATTTGTGGGTATGAAGATGATCATTAAAATCATCTTTAACCACTAGGGGACCACCCACAGTAGATATACTGCGGCAAAGCGGCCCCTGTAGGCAGAATCACATATATAAATGTGATCCTTGTTTACCGTGACCGCCTTTTCCGCAGCACCGATCGCGGCCGCGGGGTGTCAATCACCGGGTCCCGGCCGGTGATTACCTGCCGGATCCTGGCGATTGCCGGCAAACAGTGACACAGAGCACAGCTGCATTGTTTTCAATGCAGCTCTGCCCCCTGTCAGTTCCCAGCACACTGTCCCGGAGAGGGAGAGCAGAGATTAGCTTTCCAGGACAGTGTGCAACAGTGACGTACACTACCCCCGCACACTAGTAAAACACACAGTTAACCCTTTGATTGCCTAAAAATGTTAACCCCTTCTTCCCCAGTGCCATTTGTACAGTGTTAGTACAGTGTCAGTGGTTTTTTTTTTGCACTGATCACTGTATTGGTGTCACTGGGGATGTCGGTGACCCCAAGTCAGTTCTCCCCCAGTGTCAGAATGTACGCCGCAGTCCCGCCATAAGTCGCTGATCGCCGCCATAAGTCACTGATTGTGCCATAAGTCGCTGATCGCCGCTATTATTAGTATAAAAAAAGTCCAGTATCTATAGCGCCATTTGTAAACGCTATAACTTTCATGTAAACCAATTAATTTACACTTATTGGGATTTTTTTTTAGCAAAGACATGTCACAGAATACATTTTGGCATAAATTTATGATGAAATTTGATTTTCTATTTTGTTTTTACTGACATGTTTTATAGCAAAAAAGTACAAAATATTGTTTTTTCTCAAAATTGTCGGGTTTTTTTTTATGGCGCAAAAAATAAAAATACACAGGCGATCAAATACCACCAAAAGAAAGCCCAATTCATGGGGAAAAAATGATGTAAATTTTATTTTTGTGCAGCGTTGCATGACCGCGCAATTGTCAGTTAAAGTGACGCAGCGCCATAACACAAACCGCTTATGTAACAGCTTCCTGACTGCCCTATAGAAGAAATACTGCTACAGGGCAGCACAGGTGCGCAAAATCACATATATATGCATGATTCGCACTCCCGTGGTTTTCACGCCCCTCCCAGATAGCGTCAGATTGCCCATCAGTACACCAGTCATCACATTTAACCCCTTGATCGCCAGGAAGACACTCATACACAATAAACCTCCATTGTTAGTATAGTGTCGGAACGGATCAATATGTTTGATCACATCAGCACTATACCAGCGTTCACATTAGTATAGTGTCCCAAAAAATGCAGCGTTAGGGGAGGGGATCAGCCGCGGCACCTGCCAGCCCCTGCATTTAGCCCCTACTCTTACCCCCCCTTCTCTCCCAGCAAGTGAAGTGTCAGTAAGTCACTGTCACTTGATACATTGCACAAAAAAAGCAGTGTTTGCAAAATCAGGCCTGATCTCTGTTAGCACTTGTCGGTAAATTTTGATGACTCTCATATGCAGCAGAGTGCCAGTACTAGTGTTGCGCTACCTTTTAGTGAACTGTCAAGTACTTGTGGCCTAGTACTTCCTGTACTTTCACATACCTCTTAGATTGTAAGCTCCAAGGAGCAGGGCCCTCCTAACCCTCTTGTATTGAACTGCATTGTTGCTGTATTGTCTCCCGTTTTATTGTAAAGTGCTGAGCAAACTGTTGGCAATATATAAATCCTGTATAATAATAATAATAATACCAGCACTGCAGTATGACTTGGTGACGTGGCAAGTCCCATAAGTGTAGTACAAGCTGGTGTGGTGGCGAGCACAAGTATTGTCCCCGCAACCACCAAGAATTCGCACACAGGTCCGTGGAGCCCCTAGTATCCTTCTGGATGTGCTTGTAAATCCCGATTGGCAGCCCACAAATTCTGCAGCAAATTTAACTACTCGCCTTGATTTTGTGGAGCTGTTTTTCATGAAAGATCTGTATGCATTGATTGTGGATCAAAGCAATTTATATGCACAACAGTTTATTGCCGCCAACCCAAATTCAAACCTTGTCAGACCATGCACGTGGAAACCCATTACGGTTTCCGAATTTACATTTTTTTTGGACCTAACCGAGGGCCTTGGGTCAGTAGGGGACCCAATGAGATGCCCCTGGTACCTTTTTCATAGGCTTTTTTGAGTTTGGGCAAGGATACAGGAGCCCCATGATCCCCTATTGCCCGGGGGCCCCATGAGTTGTCAGTCCACCCCTGGATCTAACCCTCAGCATGGGCATTACAAAAAAAAATGAATTCCGGTTGTATTGGTCCACAGACCCGATTAATCATATGCGATTCAGCATAGATATGAGAGTATAATGTGTTTTATGCATTTCAACGACAATACACTTTGTCGTCCTCGGGGTGACCCTGAATTTCACCGGCTCCACAAAATTCAGCCCCTCGCAAATCACCTTAACCAAACATTTGCAGATGT